CCCTTCCCCAGCCCAAGATACTAAGCTGCTGACTTGGAGGCACCAACTGGACAAGGAGGGGCCAGACCAGCCAGCCAGCCCCTTAGCAGCCGCAGACCTCTGAAATTGGTTTCTCCGAAACCTCTAGCAAATCCAGAAGGTCATGGTTACCTTAAGGCATTTTTTTTTTTTTAGCTTTTTATTTTGAAATAATTTCAGCCTTACAGAAAAGTGACAAAAATAACCAGAGTTCTGGTAGACCCTTCATCCAGCTGCCAATGTTAGCATCATACAGGATATTAGCATCATACAGGATACAGCTACCTGAACCAGAAAATACCATCGAGGCAACTTTGGAGCTCACCTCCAGCCTGAATTCAGATCTCCCCAGCATTTCCCCTAATGTTCTCACTCTGGTCCAGGCTCCCACATTGCATTTCGTCATCCGATCTGCCTAGTCTCCCCTGATGTGTGATGTGCCCCAGTCTTTCCTCATCATCCACAAGCTCCACGCTTTTTTTTTTTTTTTTTTTTTTTTTTTTTTTTTGCAGTGTCCTTTGGTGTGGACTGTGTGCTGTTTACTCGTGGTTAGCCTGTGGGGTCCATCTTTGGTAGGAATCTCACTGCAGCAATGTCGGGTCCCTCCTAGGGCATCATGTTGGGGATGCAGGCTATCTATAGGCCCTGTCACCGGTGGTGTTGACCTTGCTCACTTAGTCATGGTGGGCTGTGCTCATTAGTGACAGGCTGAGTGGCTTCTCCCCATGGGGATGTGAGTTACACATTCCTTCTGTCACCTCCCTCTGTGTCGCTTCCCTTCCAGGCCTTTGCTGGGACCAGCAGCTGACGGTGGCCTTAGGGCCAGTGAGTCCTCAGGCTCATGTACTGGGGTAGCACACATTCCAAAGTGTTTGCCAGACCACCTGCAAAGCGGTGTGCCCCCCGCCACCGCCCCCTCCTTGTCCACCCCCATCTCCTGGCACAGTTGTAATACTTGCAAACAGCCCTTCAGTGAGGGGTCAGCCTGACTTTCTCCGTTATCGGTCTTTTTTGTTTTGTCATATATTTTTTTAAGTTATTTGTTTCTTTCCTGGTGACCTGGTGTTTCTTTGTTTCTTTGCCTTTTTTTTTTTTTTTTTTTTGTCTTGGGCTGTTTTTTGTTTGTTTACTGATTTTATAATAGCAAGGAGCTCTTTATTTCTTAGATTAACCTTTGGCCTGAGGGACAAAATCTTGAGATCTTACCCCCTTCATTCCCCCAGGGTAAGGATCTCCTCTTCATCCCATGATCCTTGGCGAGTTGCCAGGAGGCTCTGGACCCTGGTGAATAGCTGGCAGCCTGAGACCTTTCACTCTACTGGGGTGGGGGTGCCTGGAGCCCCCCCCCCCCATCTCTTCCCTAAAAAGGGCTCTTAGTCTTAGTTTCCTGTGGCTGCCATAACAAATCACCACAAACTGGTGAGTTTTATTCTCTCATAATTCTGGAAGTTAAAAGTTCAAAACTAAGGTGTGTGACCGTGCACTCTGAAGGCTCCGGGGCAAGATCTGGTCTCTGCCAGCTTCTGGGGGCTCCAGCAGTGGCCAGCTTGTGGCCACGTCACTCAAATCTCTGCCTCTGTGGTCACATGGCCTTCCTGCCTATGTGTCCTCTTCTGTCTTATCAGATCACATTGGATGTAGGGATGATCCAGGATGATCTCATCTCAATATCCCTACCTTAATTACATCTGCAAAGACCCTTTTTCTAATCATATCACATTCACAAATTCCAGGTGGAGATGTCTCTTGGGAGCTACCCGTCAGCCCTCTGTCCCAGCATGCCCTATGACTTGCTTTGGGCGCTCTGTCACCTGCAGCGACACACTCTTATAGGTCTGCATGGGTTTGTTTCTGTCTGCATCCACCACACCCGGGCCCCTTAATGAATTCTCTGCACCGAGTTCCTGCAGCAAGTCCTGCTGCCAGGCAACCGAGGGAAAAAAGGTCCAGGGGGCTCCACGGGCTGCCCCCACCTGAGCTTGTACATCCCGTCTGTGCAGAGCACCACCTGCCTGCCTCCAAAGCAGCTGTGGCAGGAGTTGGAGGGAGGGAGGAATGGAAGGAGGGTGAGGCCACAGATCAGAGCCTCGTGTGGCTGGGACCAAAGGGCTGGATGCTGTCTCGGGAAGACACTTTTGCAGAATGTGTCCACACTTAACATGCCCATGCCTCGACACAGCCCTAAGGAAGGCTGCACCACCCATCCGAGCGCCCAGATGTGGGGACCATCCCCTGGAATCTGTAGCGTCAGGGACGGTGCGGAGCCACAGCCGCACACGCTAGGGGGTGAGGGGACGAGACAGTCTCGGTGCACCCTATAGGCCGGTACCCCAGCAGCTGGCTTCAAAAGGTCCCTAGAGCCTAGCTTCTCGTTGTTGGTTTGTGAAAAGTTTTGGATTTATATAAAAATTGGCAAAGACAACAGTTCCCCTACACCCCACACACCTAGTTTCCCCTCTTAATAACATTTTACATTACTTTGGTACATGTTTTACAAATGTATAAATACTGATAGGTTACTATTAATTAAAGGCCATAGTTTATTCACGTTTCCTCAGTTTCCCCTAATATCCTTTCCTTGTCCCCAAATCTCACCTGACATCTAATCCTCACATCTCCTTAGGCTCTTCTGGGCTGGGACAGTTTTTTGACTTTCTTGTTTTTTTGATGACCTTGACAATTAAAAAAAATTTTTTTTAATGTTTATTTATTTGAGAGAGAGAGAGAGAAAGAGAGAGAGAGAGAGAGACAGAGCATGAGTGGGGGAGGGGCAGAGAGGGAGAGAGACACAGAATCCGAAGCAGGCTCCAGGCTCTGAGCTGTCAGCACAGAGCCCGACACGGGGCTCAAACCCACGCACTGCGAGATCATGACCCGAGCCAAAGTCGGACGCTCAACCGACTGAGCCACCCAGGCACCCCTTGACCTCGATGATTTTGAGGAGAACAAGTCAGGTATTTTGTAGGATGCCCCCCAACTAGGGTTTGCTTGCTGTTTTTTCATGGTTGGCCCTATGTGATGGGTTTAATGAGGACCACGTGGGTGAAGTGCCCTTCTCATCATGATGCACACCGTGTCCACCGCACAGGCCACCAGCATGACTCATTTGATATTGACCTTGATCACCTGGCTGAGGTGGGACCCGTCAGGTGTCCTGTACTCCTTGGAAGGAAATCACCACACGTAGCCCACACCTGAGGGGTGGGGAGCCATGCACCCATGCCCCCTCAAGAGTGGAGTTTCTACACAAAGTATTTGCCTGGGGGATTTGTCTCTTCTTCCCATTTATTTCTGTATTCAATCATTTCTTTCTTTTTCCATGTTTATTTATTTAAGAGAGAGAGGGCAGGGAAGGGGCAGAGAGAGAGAATCCCAAGCAGGCTCTGCGTTGTCAGCACAGACAACGGGCTTGATCTCACAAACCACGAGATCATGACTTGGGCTGAAATCAAGAGTCAGACACTTAACCAACTGAGCCACCCAGGTACCCCTATTTCTTTCTTTCTTTTTTTTTTTTTTAAGATTTTCTTTTTAAGTAATCTCTACACTCAACGTGAGACTCAAACCCACAACCCTAAGATCAAGAGTCATATGCTCTGTTGACTGAGCCTGCCAGGCACCCCTCATCATTTATTTCTATCTGCGGACTTGTGGATATTTAATTTATATGTTGGATGATAATCCAGTACTTGTTGCTCAGAGAGTTCCAGCTGTGGGCCACTGGGAGCTCTTTGACTCCCCTGCCTGTCTCATTGTCACACCGCCATTGGCTTTGGTTCCTCCCTGGCACCTTAGGGTACTCTGGGCTCATTTTTATGCTTCCTGCCATCTTGGAAGCAGCCATGCTTCCTGGAGCCAGGGCCCATTTTAGGTAGGAAACAGCAGCAGAGGACAAGTGGAGGGGAATCCTGTTTGTGCTGTCTAGGACCTTCTGCCCTGGGATTGACCTGGGAGGGCCTGGGAAGGCCTGGAGGGCAGGAGAGGCTTTAACAGTCTGCATTATTTTGTGGGAAAGTGTATGGATTTATTGGATGATTTTTTAAAGTTTATTTATTTATTTTGAGAGAGAGAGGGAGAGAGGGAGAGAGAATGTGTGCGTACACACATGGGTGAGGGGCAGAGAGAGAAAACCCCAAGCAGGCTCTGCACTGTCGGTGCAGAGTCCAACGCGAGGCCTCAAACCCACGAACTGCGAGGTCATGAGCTGAAGTCAGACTCTTGACCAGCTGGGTCACTCAGGCGCCCCAATTTATTGGCTGATTTTAAAGCATGGGACCCGAGCACCCCCGCTTCCCCCCATCCCCCAAACACCAAGGCACAGTCGGCATCTTGGTGGCACTAGTCTTTCATTCTTTTTTCCTTCTGTTCCTGTCACTGTGGTTTGCTGGGCTTTGCATGCACGTCCACTCAGAGGTTAAATATAGGTTCCAGGGAGGAATCCTCAAGTATTAGGACCCTTTACTGTAAGCTTGGCCAGAAACATCAGGCAAACTTACAGTAGGAAAACAATTAATTTTCTAAGTGTTTCTGTTGATAGATACTCAGGTCCAAGCTGACAAAAGCCCAGTGGGTGCTTGGGTCCAGGCAGGTGGGACCCCCCCCCCCCACACACACACACACACACACAGCCGGCCACACCTCTGCCTCCTGCTGTGTGACCTTGCAGGGGTGGCTTAACCTCTCTGAGCCCATCTGCCTGGGGTTGTTACTCGGTTCAAAAAAAACAGACAACTCAGAGGCTTGTTTGTGATGAGCAAATCAAAGATGAGAAGGGCTTTTGTGAATGATTAAGCCAATGCTGGGGACTGGCATTCAGATGCAGGTGCCACAGTCCTTCCCCTGCAGGGAGACAGAAGCCAGGCTGGAAAGAGCACCCAGCTAGGGCAGTTCTCGCTTCAGGTGACTCAGGGATGAGTCACAGGCCTAAGGCTCGTGGGGGAGGTCTTCCTCTCACTGGGTCTCACCCTGCCTCCCTCTCCCAGGACCAAGTCTCCTGCTGCCTGGAGCTGGCCTGGAATGGGTAATGGTGTGAAGGAAAGTGCGGTGCGTGTGCGTGAGGATGCCGAGGCCGTCCTGCCCTCACCTGTTAATTCCAAGGCAAGTACCCCGCCTCCCCGATGGGCGTTTTCATGAGCTCTCTCTCTTCTGTGTTCCTGCACCCCATTACAAATCACACACACACGCACACACAATCCTTTCAGAGCTGTGTTGTTGGGAGGCCATGAGGGGCAGGCGGTGGGGGCTGGCCACCTTCTGTTCCATTTAAAGTCCCGTTTGCCATGTGGTTCCAACCTGCCCAGCCGCTTAGTAAGAAGCCAGAACCTCGCCCAGATTTGGCTAGAATGTCAGAAAGTGTCCTTTTTTCTCACTCAGATTCTAGAATTAATCACGGGCAGGGCCAGCTGTGGGGGAGGGGGCTCGCGTGTGGGGTGTGCTCTCAGCTGCCAGTTTTCCTCTCTGAAGCTCATCTCGGATTCCACCCTTCAATTGAAGAAAAGGTATGTTCCCCTTTAAAGAAATTGGATCGGCTCCATCCTTGTTCACCATAGAAGCCAGTAGAAGTTCTTCCAGTGGAACCTGGAACACAGACTGCCCCAGCCCACACAGAAACCCAGCTCCAGGGCACGTGGGCCATTCTCAAAGTCCACAGCATCAAAGGCCGAAGCAGCATCCTCTGGCCCTCCCAACCTCTCCTCCAATTCTAGGTCCCCCTTGGAGCACCAGGTGGGAGGAAGGACGGCCACACTGGGGGTGGATGCAGGGAGAGTGAGGCCAGACCCCAGAGCAGGCACACCCATCCCTCACAGGTTAGTGAACTTCCCCACAGAACAAGAGGGAGATGTCACCCCCCTGCCTCTGGCTGGCTCCCTGAATCCCACCAAGTGGACGTGCCCAGCAAAAGGACCAGCGCCCGTTGTGTGCCAAGCCACGTGCAGTGCCGGTTCTCCGTGCTAGCCAGCCAGTGCCACCAGTCTTGGTTCACTTGACCAGTCAGCGGTGGGGAGCTTCCTCTGTAAAGCCGTTTCTTTGGTTAAGGAGCTGAGCATCTTCTTGTGGTGTTCGCAGCCCGTGTGGATCCTGTCTGGATTGCCCACTTTCTCTCTCCTAGGCCGTCCGCCTCGTTCTTCATTCACAGGTGCTCTCCATATGATACCTACAGAGACTGACAGCTCCCTGGTGCCTGGGCCGAGCTCTTTCAAGAATAAGCCAGGCATGGTCGTTTAAGGGTCACCGGAAGCGTTGGCCACAGGCAACAGCGGCCTCATCCGCCGAGCATGTGAACTGGGCTCCCAGCACATCCCCGGAGCACCACATCCTGAGTCAGGGCTGACAGCCGTGTGTTCCCGACGTGCAGAAGTAGCTTTATGACCGTGAGAACTGCAGGCTGCGCAGGAAGTTGCCTAGTGAAGGGCGTGGAAGGGACGCGTTGGCTCCACCTCTAGGACCAGGAGGGCACGTGGCCTGTCCACAGGGGACTCCCTCTGCTCTCAGCGGCCCGCGAGACGAACGGTCATCACACTGATTCAGAGAGGAAATTGGGAGCCACTTGGGCCTTGGAGCTGCTGCCAGGAACACCACTGAACCTCACGGCTTCTGCCGTCTACACTTCTCAAGGTGGTGGAACCAGACCTCTGGAACCTTCTGTGTGATCCAGAAAAGGCATGGGGGCCCAGTGACAGGCTTCTGTAAAGCGAGGAGAATATGGAAGCCCACGGTGAAGCTCTGCCACAGAAACTGAGAAGGGAAAACACTGCCATGAGAGATTGTTTCTTTAGCGAAGAGAGGGCCAAGCTGATGGGGGAGGTACTGGGGGCATTAAGGAACAGGAGGTGAAGCCCTCCAGAGACAGGGCCAGATCACAGGGCACCACGGCCCCTGGAGGCACCCAGACCTGGCCAGGAGACAACACATCAGTGTCAGAGATGAGAAAAGGGACATCAGAAAGGCCATGGTCAGTGCAGGCAGTTAGGACAGAGCCCAGGTGCAGGCCAGGTGTGCAGACAGACTTGGAATCCAGCCCTTCACCCTTGATCTACCCACTGAGCTGAGCAAACTCGGGGAGTGACCCTGGACTCCACCATGCCCACTCAGACCCAGGCTGCCAGTGTACCCCCCAGATGCCTCTTACCCATCCCCTGGGCCTGGCCTCCGTCTCTCCACCCTGAGTTTCTGCAGGCGCTGTCTCCTCTCTGGTTACGGTTACAAGCAGGCCCTGTCTGCTTGCTGGGCCCCCAGGCTCCCTGGAGTCCAGCCCCCACTTGCCTTTGATCTCTTCTCTCCTCCCTGCGCCCCCTCCTTTTCCCTGTGTCAACCACCCTGCCTGTCTTGTGGTCCCTCAGGAACCCCCACTTCTCATCAGGGCCTCTGGGTGTTCCATTCCTCCCCCTGTAATACCATCTCACATACACACGCATCCCCAGTTAGCTGTGCCTCATCCTTCAACCTCAGCCCCTCACCACCCACCCCATGTTCTCCCGGGACCCTAAGCCCCCTCATCACAGCCATCCAAGATTGGTGACTCAACACATTTGTCTAAAGATTTAGTTCCTGTCTGGCTCTCCCCGTGGACTGACAGCCCCAAGGGGAGGGGGAGCTTGTACATATCCCCCCCATACGCACTGTGTGTCCCAAGGATCCTCAGGGCACTTGGTTCCTGTCAGACTCCGGGGACTCCGGGGATCACTGAATGGCCTGCCCCTCCCCCATCCTTCCTCATTGTGGAGCCAGGAAAGATGGGAGCACCGCCAGGCCCTAGTGCTCCCCTTGGTGGCAAGAGTTCTGTGGCCGAGTCAGCTGAGGGAATGGAGACTCTAGCAACATGGTTAGCAGGTGACTTCTTGTGTAACTCCTCACAGGGAGCTTTGAGAAGACTCGGGAACAGTGCTGGCTCTGAGGCTAGCCTCGTGATGCAGGCCAGCACCATCACTGTCACCCTCACCTTGGCTGGAAAAAGAACCACAAATGCTGGCCTCTGGCAGTCCTGATGGAAAGTTGTGGAAAGGGACCACACTGACACAGAGGGTCTGCTTGCCTCACGCCACTGCCTGATCTCCAGCCCACAAGGGCCCTGGTGACTTTGCTCTAACCACTGCAGCACGGGAGCCCAGGGCACACAGACGGTGGACGCAGCCAGGGTTTGCACTGGGGTGCAGTGACTCTTCTCTTTGGGGTTGGTCCTATTTTGGCTGTCTCTGAGAAGTTGGAAACTCATGGGACAGCCCAGCCAGTGGGTCACCTCTCACGTGGATGGTCTCTATCACCCAAAACGTTTTCACCGTGGCCCACACAGGCTCTGTGGCCACTGGACTCATGACGGCTTGCCCTGTGCCCCACTGTGCCCAGGGCCCAGCAGGGCTGTGACACTTGGACAGCTGTGCAAGTTACAGCCCTCCACCAGGAATAGAAGGAAGATGTTCCTCCTGAGTGAGGTCCCCAGCGGAGCAGACCCCTTTCCCTTTCTCTCTCTCTCTCTCTCTCTCTCTCTCTCTCTCTCTCTCTCTCTCTCATGACAGACTGTGTCCACGTGTTTTCTTGCAGAGCGACCACAGGCAAGTTCTCAGCTCCCTCCTGTCTGGGGCCCTGGCTGGTGCTCTGGCCAAAACGGCGGTAGCTCCCCTGGACCGAACCAAAATCATCTTCCAAGGTAAATGCTCTCTGTCCGCCTGTCGTGTACGATAGAGATGCTTCCAGGTGCTTGCCCTCCTCTGCAGCCCCCCAAACTGCACTGCAAACTGGCTTTAAAATGCCTTTTTAGGGGCACCTCAGTGACTCAGTCGGTTAAGCATCCAACTGCTTGATTTCGGCTCTGGTCGTGATCTCACGGTTCATGGGATCAAGCCCTGCATCGGGCTCTTGTGCAGAGCCTGCTTGGGATTCTCTCCCCCTCTCCCTCTGGCCCCCTGTCCCTACTATCATTTTTTTTTCTCTCTCTCTCTCTAAATAAATAAATAAACTTAAAAAAATGCCTCTTAAAAATCCACTTAGAAACCCTGGTAGCCCCCCAGGGCTGCCATCACAAAGTACCATATATGACTCAGCTCACACTCCAGAGGCCAGAGGTCTGGAATCAGGGTGTCATCCCCAGTCGGTTCCTTTTGTGGACTCTAAGGGAGGGGCCTTCCAGCTCCCGGGGCTCCAGGCATCCTTGGCTTCTGGTCTCATCTCCCCAGACTCTGCTTTGCCCTCTGCGTCTGTGTCCACTCCTCTTGTAAGGACACTTGTCATTGGATATAGGGCCCACCCGACTCCAGTAAGCTGTCATCCTAATGTAATCACATCTGCAAAGACCCTGTTTCCAAATGAAGTCCCATTCACTTGTACTCGGCATGAGGACATGGACACTCCTTTTGGGGAGGCCCAGTTCAAAAAACCTTCACCCTCTCCTCGGGGTCAAGCAGCCACAGGGTCCCCTGAAGAGGAGGCCTTTCCGTCCCATAGACAGTGACCGGTGCCTACAACAGGGCAGTCACAAGCGGGGACCCCTGCCCCTCAACTGTTTGGGAGGAAGGGACTGCAGATTCAAGCCAGGCCCTCCTCGAGCTGGTCCCCGAGCCTCCCTGTGCCTCAGTTTCCTCATCCACAAAACAGGACGCTAATATCAGCCTCCTCCCAAAGGAGTGAGCTGACGTGGGAAAGAGCTGTTACCTGGAGCGTAGTGCCCTGCGGGGAGCTGGGTTTAGCTCTGAGGGCAGTAGGTGTGCGCAGCTGTCCGCACAGATGAGACTGTGACGGTGTCCTGGGAACACGGCAGATGCTCGGAAAGTGAGGAGAGGGAGGCTGCAAGACCCCTTGTGGCACAGGCGCCCGAGGGCAGAGCACACTGTGGAATCGGGGAGCGAGGCGGCAGCCATCAAGGGTGCGGGAGGCCGGTTGGGGTGGCCGCCTGCACCTGTGAGAAGATAGGGTCGGCTCTGGGCAGGGGACACCTCCCAGGACTTGTTCTGAGAGGACCAAGCCCCTTGGCTGCTCTGCACAGCTGGAGGCAGGGAGGCCTTTCCCAAAGGGGTTTGGTTGAATTGGAGTCCGGCTGGGTGGGCCGAGCTGTCAACCCCAAGGGGCAGAAGCCCCTGCAGAGACCCTCGCTTTTCTGGGGAGTGAGGCGGCAGCTCCCTTCCCTGGGGAAAAGTTCACAGGCAGGGGGCCCTGAGCCAGTGAGGAAGTTCCCTGGAGGAGACTGACCCTGCTCAGAGCGCCCCCCCCCCCACCTCAGCCTTTGGCAGGGAAGCATCCTCAGGGGCTCTTCTCACTCCCCATGCTCAGACCTGAGCCCAGCAGTGGGGTCCCACAGACCGAGGTCCTGTCCTTCACATCTAATGGTCTCTATTGTGTTTTTGTTTTCTTCCAGTGTCTTCAAAAAGATTTTCTGCCAAGGTGAGCCACTGGGTCACTGACTCCTGGCTCTGGGGCCATCACCGTCTGCCCTGCTGAGCTGGCAGGAGGTGGTGGCACGTGGCCAGGGGTGAAGGAAGATGCTTTTCAAAGTGTTTTTTCCCTTTCATCTCCCCAACAAGCCAGTTCCCAGGCTGCCAGGTGACCTGAGGCCTCCCCCACCAGCCCCAGGGCCGCCTGTCCTAGTGCCCCGACCTCGGCCTGGATGCAGCCCACCCCAGGAACTGACAGGAGACACTCATCCTTGGGGCGGTGGGGAGAGGACTTGAAGTTCTAAACCCACAATTTCACACTTGATTCATTTTTAAACAGAGAGCAGGCATCACCTTTGTAATACAGGAAGAGATAAAGAACATCTTTGAAAGCTAGACTACTGGCCAGACCCTCTGTGTGGGGCTCTTGTCTGCAAACCTTGTTTCCCCTGGCTCGTGGCTATTCCTCGGGCCAGAGGAGCAGGGAGAGAGGGGTCCCTGCATGGGGCCCAGAGAATGTGGGGGCTAAGGTGGGGTGGGTCCGATAAGGTGGCCCCAGTCACAGTGCTGGACAAAACAGGGTGTTCTCCATGGATGGAGCACAGGGCAGGCGAGGGTGTTGACCTTGCCCCCCTCTCCAGGAGGCCTTCCGGCTCCTCTACTTCACCTACCTCAACGAGGGCTTCCTCAGCCTGTGGCGCGGGAACTCGGCCACCATGGTGCGCGTGGTGCCCTACGCCGCCATCCAGTTCAGCGCCCACGAGGAGTACAAGCGCATCCTGGGCCACTACTATGGCTTCCGCGGAGAGTGAGTGGCCGCCCCCCGCCGCCCCCAAAACCCGTCTCAACCCTGCACCGCCACCCTGTCCTCCTGTCTCTGCACGCTCACCACGGCAGAACTCTCGTTTGCCCAGGCTCCCCTCAGAACCTAAGTCCAGGGAGGGCCCCTGATCCCCACTGCGCCCCAGTGTCCGCAGGGAAGGAACACGTCATGACTGCATACAAGCAGATGCCAAGGAAAGGCAGCTGTGGGAACCTCAGAATGATGTCCGCCCAGGAGACCCATCACTCCGCCATAAGGCGGCCAGGCCCCGCCCAATCCTTGCTTCTCCCCCCTGGCTGAGACCTGTGGGCACCCCAAGTCTTGGGGGGGGGTCCTCATTTTCTCTCGTCTCCTCCCCCTCTTTTAGAGCCCTGCCCCCTTGGCCCCGCCTCCTGGCAGGCGCACTAGCTGGAACAACAGCTGCTTCGCTGACCTACCCCCTGGACCTGGTCAGAGCAAGGATGGCCGTGACCCCGAAGGAAATGTGAGTTCCCAGGCCATGCGTTCTGTTCTGCCGCTACTCTCCACACGGGCAGTAATTGGTTCTCAGCCGATACTAGGACCATTACTAGTATTGGCTCTCGTTTGAACTTATATCAAACCGAAAGTCTTCATTTTTATTTTTTTTTAATGTTTGTTTATTTTTGAGAGAGGAAGAGAGAGCACGAGTCGGGGAGGGGCCGAGAGAGAGAGAGACACACACACACAGAATCCAAAGCAGGCTTCCAGCTGTCAGTGCAAAGCCCAACATGGGGCTTGAACCCACGAACCATGAGCCAAAGTCAGACGCTCAACTGACTGAGCCCCCCAAGTGTCCCCCAAAGTCTCCCATTTTGGATTGGCACGGATACATTACCAATGCCCACGGTGAAAAGACAAGGGCTGGGCATAACAGAGTGACCTGGGAGGTGAAGGTGGGTACGGCCTTAGCCACGCATTTCCCCCTCCAATGCCAAAGCTTTTGCAACGTGGTTGTGTTCCTTAAAGAAGGAAGGCATCAACATCCAGACCCTGGCCCGCCCGTCTTCGGGAGGAGCAGAGAATTAGTCAAGGCCAGCGGCCCCTCTGCGTGCCCATAGCCCACGCACGCTGTCACTCTGTCCTGCAGGTACAGCAACATCTTTCACGTCTTCATCCGCATCTCCCGAGAAGAGGGCCTGAAGACCCTCTACCACGGGTTCACGCCCACCGTGCTGGGGGTCATTCCCTACGCCGGCCTGAGTTTCTTCACCTATGAGACACTCAAGAGCCTGCACAGAGGTAAGGAGACGGAAGCCAGGGCAGAACCTCCCAGGGTCACACACACTCCGAGGCGGGACCCTAAGATCCCCCCACCGGGCCCGGTCAAGGTCCGAGTCAGAACAAGACCCATATCAAGCCACCACTGAGGCTGCTAGACTCCCAGCCTTTCGTGCCGCGTTTTGAGACCAGCTTTGTGAAATCCAGAGTGTCATCCGGAGCAGTGGCAGCCACTTGTGCACAGAGCGTCCCGGGTACGGTCTAGACGGCAGAGGGAGTGCCCTCTCGTGTTTAGGTAATTGTGAGAAATTCAAAAAGTGCAGAAAAACAGAGAACAATATGCCACCACCCATACCTGCTACCCGCCCCCGCCCGGTGCAGACAGGTGGTGACGTTGCTCCGAGATGTTTTCTGTTAAAGAAAATGTTCCAGGTGAAGCTGAGGTCCTGTGTTCCCCACCCCCAGCCCCGCTCCCCCCTGAGGCCTCTTTACAAGAACTGCATCCCTCACGCTGGCTGCTGCTGCTTCCACACGCATTTCTACGTGCAGCAGGAACAATACCTTGTAATGTTGTAAACGGTGACCACAGTTGAGTTACCTACACCCGCAACAAGTGCAGCTGGGCCCCAGCTCTCAGTTCACCCTGCCGGATCTGGGTCGGAGGCTCTGAGTCCACCCTGCCGGGTCTGAGGCTCTGCCGTGCCTTTTAGCAGTGGAGTGGGCCTCCCCTGCCGGGGGCTGCTGGGTGTTCCCAGGTTTTCAGTGATCAGACACCCAGGGTGTGAGCCCCCAGTTTGGGGACGTACTCCGCTTGCCCCCCGGCCCTGTCTCCATGCACTCACCCAGCGTGGGTGCCGGCGGATTCCTTCCTGTCCGGCCAGCGTGCTGAGTGAATAGCGGTGTCCCACTGTTTGTAATTCCTAGTTTACCTTTACAACCACACCGTGTTTGTTTTGTTTTGTTTTAATTTAAAAAAAAAATTTTTTAATTTTTTTTTTTTAATGTTCATTTTTTGATAGAGACAGAGCGTGAGTGGGGGAGGGGCAGAGAGGGAAGGAGTTCGAGAAGGGGCTCGAACTCACGGACCGTGAGATCATGACCTGAGCTGAAGGCGGACGCTTAACCGACTGAGCCGCCCAGGCGCCCCTTAATTTTTTTTTTTTTTAATGTTTGTTTAGTTTTGAGAGAGAGAGACACAGAGTGTGAGTGGGGGAGGGGCAGTGAGAGAGGAAGACACAGAATCTGAAGCAGGTTCCAGCTCTGAGCTGTCCGCACAGAGCCCGACGCAGGGCTCGAACTCACAGACCATGAGATCATGACCTGAGTCGAAGTCGGATGCTTAACCAACTGAGCCACAAGGCACCCCTACAACCACACAGTTTTAAAGAACCCCTCTTGTTTGGCTGCTGCCCCTTCCTGTGTCCCACATGTCCCGTCCACCCAGCTGCTCACCTCACCGCATCCCTGCAGCCCTGTGGAGGGTACCCACGGAGCGGGCTGGGTGGTGGAGAGGGTCGCGGTCGCCCCTATCACTTTCCTTCTTTGCTTGATGGGAAAACAAGAGTGATCAGATGGGAGTTCATTCTGGGTCGTAGGACTTGGTTAAAGGGGTTATTTGTGAGTTTCTGCCTTTTTAGAAACTTTTCTTCTCAAATTTGATTAAAAGGAATAGCCGGGAGGTGAGGAGGCCAGGGTGGGAAGGCCCAGGGGAGCCAGGGGAGTACTGAGCCACGGCAGGGACAGAGCACGGGCCTGTGTGAGTGCCGGCTGTGGGGGTGCACCCACAACGGACCGGGCCGTGTGCCCCCTTGTGATGCCCTCACACAGCCCCTCTGTCCCTCGTCCACAGAGTACAGCGGCCGCCCACAGCCCTACCCCTTTGAGCGCATGATATTTGGGGCCTGCGCTGGCCTCATCGGGCAGTCAGCCTCGTACCCTCTGGACGTGGTGCGGCGGCGCATGCAGACAGCCGGGGTCACGGGTCACCCGCACGCATCCATCGCGCACACGCTGCGTGCCATCGTGCGGGAGGAGGGCGCCGTGCGTGGCCTCTACAAGGGCCTGAGCATGAACTGGCTCAAGGGCCCCATCGCCGTGGGCATCAGCTTCACCACCTTCGACCTCATGCAGATCCTGCTACGGCACCTGCAGAGCTAGGGAGCCCGCCGGCCGGCTGCTCTCGAGACGGGGAGCCGAGCTTCCACTTGCAGCGGACCATTGACCCCTTTCGTTTCTGAGCCCGTGGAGTGAGGGTGCGCATGGTTCCACTCTGGGAGCCATGTCGGGAGCACCTTGTAGAATAAGCTGGGGGACCTGGCCTCGGTCCCACCAGCCGGCAGCCCTTGAAGTGCAATGTTGAGGCTGGTGGGCGGAGCTACCACACTCTCCCATCCCTCCTCCCTGGGGCTGGCACTGTCTCCTGGGGGCGTCGCCCCAAATGCCCTGAGCCGGGAGTGACCAGCACCGCCTCCTGGCCCCCTGTGACCTTGGACATGCTCCTGGTTCTAGTGACCCCATGCCCACTGAGCTCAGAGCCAGACTCCACCTGCCCCTGCGCCCACAGAGGGGAGTCCCAGAGTGTTCTGAGAAGCCTGTCCAGGCCCTGGTGAGGTGGGGCCAGACTTCTGCTCAGCTGGGGCTACAAATACAGCCTCTTGCCCCGCCCCGCCCCACCTGTCCCACCTTTGCCATTACTTCCCAGGTGACATGACTCCTCTGTCACCAGAGCCTCCTGCTTCAGAACAGCCTTCTCCCAAGAGGATTATTTGGATCCTGGACTCCGTGGCCATAGTAGGGCACCAGGAGTGGGTCTTCCTCTCTGTCGCCCACCTGTCTGGTTTGTAATGTTTCCAGGAGGGTCACATCTCCTCCACACAGCAGGGTTTGAGGAATTGCCACGAGTTTGGGTCTGAGTCCTAGCCGGAGGGCATCTGCTGGAAACTGGGCACCCAGGTCACCTTCTCTGGGCCTGGAAGCTCCCACCCCTATCGCTATCCCACAGGCCGCACCAGTAGAGGCCTGGCCTTAGGCCCTAGCCCTCTGCCCCTAGGCACAGCGGCTCCTGTGGGTATGTGTGGCATCTGGCATGTCCCTGGCTCCCCACCTGAGCAGGCACTTGGCCAAGACACAGGGCAGTTTAAGACCCACAGGGTTGTCAGATTTCCATGAAGAGAGCGCATGGAGGCAACTTGCAGCCTTGATCTTCCCAAAATGGGGGCCCCTGAGACCGTGTGTAGCCCAGGGGGGGATTCTCGGAGAAATTGGGGAACCCCAGGGCACCTCTAGGGAGCTGGTCTCATGGAGAAGTCCCCTAGGGTCTGCTCGGTGTCACATTTCAGAATGACTTTGGGAGTTTCTTGATTTCTTTTGGTTTTGTTCTTTAATCTGGCTGACTCTGGGTCTAGTCACAGTAAACCCCGACCCGTGTGATCTGGTTCCAGGCAGAGGTGACCAGAGGGTCGGTTTTCACAGAGAGCTCCTCAGCGCCGATGTGTGAAAGGGTCTAAGAGGGCGCGTTTGCCCCATGCACATTTCCAGTCGTGACCTTCATTTCTCCCCTTTGTTCTGTCCCGTTGGTGTCCTTGCCTGGGACCCCTGCAGGTATGAAGACCCCTCTCTCTGTCCTTCCTTGCATGTGTCTGCCGGCCAGCCTGACTCTCATCCCCAGGGTCTCAAGGCTGTTTTGTTGGGTGGACTTCGCTCCTCCTGTCCTTGCCCTGCCCAGCGCCCAGTCTCAGCAGGAGAGGCAGGGACCCCTCACAGGGAGACGGGCTGGGGACCCAAGGGCCACCAGGCAAGAGAAAGCAGCAGGGACTGGGGGGTCCACCGCAGGCAGGTGAGACCAAACGAGTGGCTCTCTGAGCCTCAGGCCGGGTGGCAGAGGGGAGGGACCCCCAGGTCCCGCCAGCCCCACCGTGCCTCTCCAAGGTGGCTCCCAGTCGAGTGGGCCTCAGCCACACACACAGCTGGGCTGGTGCCCTCCGTGGCCACACCCCTCCCACCGGTGTCCATCGTGATCTGGAGTTACATTTTGATGCCATGAAGACACTTTGTTTATATATAATGTTTATATATTTTAAAAGATTTGTGCCAAGAGAGTATATTTAATAAAAATTAAAATGACTTTTTTTTCTGCCCATGTCTCTTCTCTTCGGCTCTAACCCCCAACCCTCCCTCCCTTTCAAAGCAAAAACAGGGTTGAGGTTATTTTGACAGATTTTTAAATATATTCTTGAATAACCCCCACCCACCCACCCTTTTTTTTTTTAACTAGGCTCCCTGCCCAACGTGGGGCTTGAACTCAGGACCCTGAGATTTGGGGAGGACATTACCAGCTCTACCAACTGAGCCAGCCAAGCATCCCTTGAATAAACCTTTTTAATGTAATAACTGTCTCAATTATTAATACATAGCATGGTCTTCTAGAAAACTCAGACTGTAAAAGAGTTACGGTGAGAAGTAGGTCGGCCTGCCCATTCCCTCCGCCAAGGTGTCTTCTGTTACCGGAGCCATCCTGTGCATAAACAGTCGTCCCTTTTGTTGTTGTTTGTTTGTTTGTTTTTACATTTATTTATTTTTGAGAGACAGAGACCGCGTGAGCAGGGGAGGGGCAGAGAGAGAGGGAGACACAATCGGAAGCAGGCTCCAGGCTCCGAGCTGTCAGCACAGAGCCCGACGTGGGGCTCGATCTCACGAACCGTGAGATCCTGACCTGAGCCAAAGTCGGACGCTTAACCGACTGAGCCACCCAGGAGCCCCAACACTCGTCTCTTTTGAGGACACGGATGACGAGCCACCTCATCAGTCAGGATGGGTTGCATCCTGCTGCAGCCAGCATGGCCGCAAAGTCCTGTGGTTTCTCTCCCGTGCCCTGCCTGTCTGCCATGTGCTGGGGACTCCGCTCCCTGGCCGCTCGAGGCTTTAGGAGCGAGTGTGGCTGTCAGCAGGGGCACGAGGATGAGGAGGCCACCAGAGTCTCAGTGGCCATTGAGACTGCAGCCCGTTACCTGGACCAACTTGTAGGGCTCACCTGAGCAGAGGTGGGTAGTGGGAGCCTCCACACACCAGGGGAGGAGGGGCGACTGGATGTGCGCACTCGTGTGGGGGTGTGATTCGAGTACATTCTACCTTGCCGACCCTGAACTGCTCTGCGAGCTGCTTTCAGTCAACCATATTTCTTGCACGTTGGTCTCTACTGTGTACTGTTTGTCTCAGTTTAGCCACAGGTTGGCGTTTCCCTGGGGCGGTGGCCTGTGATGACATCCCTTATTGATGGTCATTGAGGTTGTTCGTGATCTGTTGCCATGACAACGAGGTAGTGGCTCCTGGGGACTGCTGAGCTTGCCTCTCATGTCCTACTGATTTCTGGTCTGTCCCACCTCTTGTACCAGCCCCTAAACTTGGGAGGGTCTGGGTCAACTCCCCACTTTCCCCCAACCACTGTGGCATCCCCTAAAATATAGAGGTGGGCACATGACTCCATCTGCACCCATGACAGCAGAGAAGATATTTACTAACCACTTCCAGATAGTACTTCTGGAAGCACCCTTTCTCTCTCCCACTGGCCCTGTGGGAAGAAACACCAGCCCAGGCAGTTGTTGGGACTGTCCTGTGACCACAAGGTAGAAAGCCATCCCAGCGTGAAACCGACACTGCAGAAAATGGAGCAGAGATGAACAGAGGGGTTGGCGTGTTTGTGACATTGTCTGGGCTGCTGGATCCAGCCTTGCCTGAAGCTCTCAACTGCCTCTCAACTTCCGGCAAGATGAGTCGCGTTATCCTGTTTATTGAAGACAGAGTTGAGCTTCTTGGCACTCTCTGAAGCAAGTCTGTTACGTGCCTCTTTGTGTTCATGCACTAGTGTGGCTGTGGGTTTCCAGGAACGAAATTGCTAGGTAGGGATCAAGGGATACGTTAACTGATGCTGCCAGTGCCCGTTCCTAAGTCCAGCAGTCACGGCTGCCACCAACTGCTTTTGGCTGTAAGCCGCTGCAACCCAGTCTGGGGGCTTCCCCGTAGGAGCATGACTCAACACCCCAGGAGCAGCCCTCGGCCAATGATTGTGGACAGCCCTTCACCACTGGGGTGGGTTCACTCGGGTCAGATCTAACCGTCCCCCCAGGTCCCCAGCAGGACCAAGCCCGGGTTGCCCACTTAGTCACCTGTTCATTGGCACCCCCACAGGGCTCCTCCCTCCCCGTTTCATTTCTCCATCCCCAGGGAGTCTCCCTGGGGTGACCTCCCAGGCAAACCATGGGCCCTGAGTCCTCGTGACAGGGTCACCTTTTGGGGAAATCTATCCAGAGATGAACAGAAATGCCAGATACTCCTGCAAGGAGATGGTAGCCATTTATATCACATACCCTCACTGTCTTGAGTTTCCTGTGGCCGCCTTAACAAAGTACCCCAGACCGGGGGGCTTAAAAACCCAAATGTATTCTCTTACAGTTCTGGAGACCAGAAGTCCAAAATCAGCGTGTCAGCGGGTTTGATTCCTTCCGAGGGCATGAGGGAAGGATGTGTCCAGGCCTTTTCTTGGCTGCCGGCTGTCTTCCTATCGTCTTCCCTCTGTGCTTTTCTGTATCTAAATTTCGTTGTAATAGAAAAAAGAAAAAAAAAGCAAATTTCCTCTTCTCAGGACCCACCTTCATGGCCTCATTTTAACGTAATCGTCTCTTTAAAGCCCTGGTATCCAAATCCGGCCCCACTCTGAGGTCCTAGAGGTTAGGACTTCTGTGAATTTGGGGAGGATGTCATTCGGCGCCTATCCTCACCAAGGCCAGTCACCCGCCTTGCAGATCCTCACTATTCTGACGGGGGAAGCAGCAGGACATCCAGGGCGTGGCTGGTGGCCAGGCGGTGACAGGGGAAGAGACAGCAAGGTCAGGAGGAGGCCTGAGGACTGGACAAGGTGGAGGTCCCAGGGACCCGGACAGGAGTGGTTCCAAGGTGCATCTTGGGTCCTGCTTCCAGTTTGTTTTGTGCCTTTTCTTTCCGCTGTTTTTCTCCTTTGCTCGTTTCTCTGGAGTCATTGAAAAGTTTGACTTGCCATTGGGTTTTCCTTTTTCTTTTTCTTTTAAATCCTCTTTTCTTCAGCCGGTTTAGAAATGACACGTTGCGTTTCTTGTAACGTAGGGCTTCTGGGCCGGGGGCATTGCGGACTTCCGGGGTGGGGCCGTCCTGGGCACCTCAGGTTGTTGAGCAGCACCCTTGGCCTCCGCCCACCAGATGCAGTAGTGTCCCTGTCCCCTCTCAATCATGACAGCCAAAAATGTCTCCAGAAAAAAATGCCTCCAGACATTTGGGGCAGAATCATCCCTCCTGTGAGAAGGCCTGAGGTGTGGTGACTACCACTGACATGGCAGTTAACAAGGTACTACTTCCCCTCCTGAAAACACAGGGTCCTGACCACCCCCTTCTATCTTCCCTATTTTTCTCTGTGGCTCCTCCTTGTTTCTCTCAGTCTTTTTTTTTTTTTTTTTAATTGTGAAATGTGTCCCCAAGAGAGTCTGTAAGACCGCTGTGGTTTAACGCACGGCAGTGAGAGCCTGTGACCGTCATGGGTTCTTCCTGCCTTGGCTGTCCCGTGTGCGCCTCGTGCCCGTCACTCTCTTGCTTTTCTTTAGGTGTTTCCAACTTCCTGTGTGTCCCTAAACCACGTGGTGCTGAGCTCTGAGAGCAGAGAGCACGCAGAGCCCTGGCTGAGCAAGGGAAGGGCCAGGTGGCCAGAGGCACCACCGCCGGGGGTCTGTGCCAGTGGGCTCAGGGCACCGGTTTCGGGGGCTCCCGGGGTGTCGGCCATAGTGCGGCACCAGCAGAACGAGGAGGCCACGCTCCATCATCTCGGAGTCCTGGGCCAGTAGGTGTGGCCTGTTCCGTCCTGGCTGGGACTTCATTCTGGAACTTCCCGGACACGTGCCTAGGGATGGGGTTCTCGTCCCGCAGCACCTGGAACCGTGGGGTCCTGGGGAGTTCCCATTGCCTGGCGCCATCAGCGTCTCCCTCTGCTCGGATGTCTCTTTCCAGAACTCTCTTTCTTTGGAAGATTCTTCTGGGTCAGTCCTCTGATTTCCTTTGTCCCCTCCCTTGTTTTCCATTATCTTTTATCTTCCTGTTCCTCCTGCAAGATCTCTACAACTTCATCCGCCACCTCCATTCCCCTCCCTTCTCTTCCTCTGTATCCACTCCCTGCCGCTTCCGCCCTCTCCTCCCTCTTGCCCACCCCCAGCCCTGACTGCCTTTCTTCCTTCTCCAGCCCCTGTCTTCCTCTTCTCCCCTGACTTGTCGCCCCCAGACCTATTGGAACTGGAAGTTTTACAACACTTGCGTTTCTTCTCCCCACCATTCCTCCTCTCTTCACTTCCTGCTTCCAGGCCTTTGCTCTGGGTCGCCCTTCGCTCAGCACGGAGGCTCATCCCCCAGAAGCCCCCACAGGTACCCAGGTGGCCTGAGCCACACCAACATGCAGAGAGCCGCCTCCCAAACCACTCCAATCCTCTTTGTAAAAGCAGTCTGCTCTTTTATTCAGAAGAATGAACCCCCACTTCTGCCTCAAATGGGGGAGGGGGACGTGCCATCTGGGAACAATGGCCCTGGGATCCTCTGCCAGTGGGCCCAGGGCAACGGTTTTGAGGCAGAAACCTGGGATCCGAGGGGGCCACAGCTCAGGCACTGCGGTGAAGTGGACCCGCACAGCAGGCGCTGCGGGGACTCCCAGGCCCGCCTTGCACCTGAGGACACTGAGGCACACACGGAGGAGGCGGCCGGGAACCGCTAGCTCGGCCCGGACCTCGGGGCCCCAGGAGCGTCTTCTGCGGGCGGCTAGGAGCCCGCCAGGTACCGGTGGAAGTACAGGCCGAAGAGGCTGGAGAGCAATTGGCAGGCGGCGGTCCACCAGATGAGGAAGGTGAGGACGCCGCGGAGGAAGAGGGGCGTGAGCAGGCTGCCCAGGGCCCCTGCGATCCGGGCCGCCGTCTGCTGGGCCTCATCCTCCTCGGGGCCCACCAGGCGATCGTGGGCTGAGGACGGGGGAGGGGACAGCATGGGAACCGGGCCCAGGCCCCAGGAGTAGCCGCCTGTGAAGGTGAAGGCACAGGCGGGGTTTGACCGCTGGGACCCCCACCCATCGC